TTGTTCTGACACCCCCCCCCCCCCCCCAGGACCCACTCTAACAGGGAGAGGTTTCTCCCCCTTTTTGGGAACTCCACAACCCACAGATGTTTGCAATGAGCTTTTGCAAAACAACACAGTTTTTTTTATTAGTCAAATGAGATGCAGTATTTTCAGCTTCTTGCACTCCAAAAAGCTCACAACCACATCCATCTTGGCAGCTTTCATCCCGTATCCCTGGCACTCCCCACCCATCCCAGATTGCACCCTTCACCCTGCACGGGGCAGAGGCATGGCCGGCCCCACTCCGGCCCCTCAGCACTTCTGGCAGTGCTGCAAGCCATGATCCTGGTGTCCAGAAAAACTCCATCCACTCCCTTGGCAGCTGGGAGCACCCCAGGCACTTGCTGCCCAGGAGACTCCTAAATTTTCCTGTCCCAGAAAAACAAGTCGTGTCTCCATTCGCAGGGTGGGAGAGGGGACAAGCCATGCAACACGAGCTTGTTTTTCCCCCTTTTTGTATTTCAGCAGCTGCTGCAGATGAGCCAGGTCACAGCCAATTCTTTGGCTGCCCCCAAGGTGGGGGTCGATGAGGGTTTTGCCTCCTCTCTTGATCATCACGTTATTTCTCTGGGATTTTCCCAGCTGCTTAAGCCTGTCTTTGAGCAGCCCGGCAGTCCCTCGGGACACTTCTCCTTCAATCCCTCCCTTGCCCCCTGATTCTTCATGGGCCTGGGGTGAACCATCCCGAGGAGGATGGACAATCCAGCTGCAAGAGAGACCCAGGGACCAACCCGCCTGCGCCATGCTGGCTGAGACCTGGCACAGCTCAGCTCATCAGGGACACTGCAGTGGAGCAAGAAGCTCTCGCAGACAGGAGGGGAAATGAGTTGACAGGAAAGGATCTCTCTGCTGTGCAGACAAGCGAAGCTGGGGCTGGGACAGGGGCAATCCTTCCAGCCCCAGGCTCAGCTGGTAGCTGGGGACACTGGTGCCGTTTGACAGTTGGAAGCCTGCCTAGCCAACCCACTTCCTGCAACATCCAAATCCTCTTCCCAGCCCTAAGCCAGGGAGCTGCCTTCTCCTGCTCCCTTTCCCACAATGGAAGGATGCTCTGGGACCTCCCTGCTCTGGGGCACGATCTTCTGATGGCCACTAGCCTGGTCCCTTTCTCCCTGGGCCTGAACCCCGCTTTACCTTCACCCTGCCCTTTAATATTCACTAGCATCCCCCTTACACTGGGGTTTCCCAAGATGCCAGCAAAATCCAAGGAGGTGATGTGAAAGCAAGGATGCCTTTTCCTGCATGCCACCAAGCAGGATGCTGCAAGCACCAAACGCCAGGTGAGAAATGGCCAGAGCTGGTGAGTTTATTGGGCTGGGTGATCCAGATGTGGGGCTGACAGCTGTCAATCAGCCCAGCAGGTTCAAGGTCCAGCCCTGGAGCATCTCCCTGCTGCTGGTGGGGCTGTCATCCCCAACTGACATCCCCTCGCTGTGACCCTCCAGGGAATCCTTGCCAGAGGCAGGGATGTGAAAGGGCTTTCCCATCATTCTGTGATCGTTCTGTGATTATCACGGCCCCCTCTCCCAGCAGAGAAGCAGCCTTTGACGAGCAGGGGGAGCGCTGGAAGGCTGGCACAGCTCCCTGCCCCGCTCAGCTGGCCGGGCAGGGGCTCCCATTTCCTTCCCTGGATCAACAAAGAGCTCCAGAGGCTTGTCAAAGGGGTGATTCGGCAAAACAGGAGGAGAGGAGAGGCAGAAACACCAAGTCAGCACAGCTGGATGGGGTGAAATTTGCATCCTGTGAAAGCCACGGGGAGCAAGGCTCAGGTGTCCTGCTCCAGGGGGGACAGGGGCAATTCCTGGAGGTCCAGCTGCTCTGCATGCCGGCCCTGGAGCCAGGATACAACAGGAAAACAGTGGTGCTGGGGTTTTGTGTTTTTTTTTTTTTTTTTTCCCCATTCCCAGAAAGATCAGGTCAGGCTGGCCTGGCATGTGATGGAGGGGGTGGGAAAGCCATTTGCTTCAGTCACCAATCACAAGCATCGAAAAAGCTGAATCACGGCCGCAGGACTGGTCAAAACCCATCTGTTCTGGTTTATAGGCACGCTCTGCTGATTTGGCTCCTAGTTTCTGACCTGTTAAAAAGTTCACATTTCTTCTGTAAACACAAAGGGCTCAAGCTTACTTCAAAAGAAAAAAGCAGAAAACTACAATTCTCACGCAATCGCATGGTTCCAAGAGCCGGGGGTTACAGAGAAATCCAGCCGTGCTCTAAAACCAGGAGAGCTGATAGCCCTGAGCACTGAAGGGTCCGGAAAAATCAAGTTTCTGCACTTGCAATGCCCTGAGAGCCCTCAGCGTTTTTGTCTTGAGTTGCTGATAACCCAGCCAGGACCCACGCTTTCAAGCCAACAATGATAACCCACGCTTTCAAGCCAACAACTTTAGACAAGTGACATCATCTTTACATCAACGTAATTGTGAGCAAAGTCTGACCATTAGCTCCAAGTCCAGGAAAAGCAGAATGACGTCCTCATTTAGGCAGCTGGAAAATCTTTTATCTTTTGTCCAAAGCTGGTGTCTTATTTCAATACAGACGATGTTTCCAAGCCTCACTTTTTTAAAAAATAGTTGGTGCTGTTTGATCCCTGACCTGCTCATATCAAATGCTGCCCAAGCCCTTGGGGTGCGGCGGTTTGGCCACCCCGGGAGCATC